ACGGAAACGGTGGATCTATCAGCTATCAGGCACGAGGTGGGTTAGTCTGATCAGCGTAGACACATAGACCTGGTTGGTTAGCAAAGATAGACACTCTAGCACCAACAACTGCGCCTTTGACGCTTCACTGCTTCACTTAAGGTAACAACTACACCCCCGATCTTAATAGTCGCGTGCTTCTTCTTGCTTCAGCTAGTCTGAAATGCTAAGTTTAAATTCATCAATTTTCAGCCAACTGTGTTGTTTCACTTCCACATGTTCATCGATTAAACTACTTGTTCTAGTTAAATGTGCTTGCACTAGGAGTGTCTACGAAGTTGGTCGTTCAAATTGTTTTTGATGGAGCGGACAACGTGTATATGTTGTGTGCATATATTGACTAACTTCGTTTGTTTCAAACTTTCGCTGTGTAGATGCTAGTTCTGCGAATGAGTGCTCCATATGTTAACCCTTTATCCTCGAGTTAGGCTCCAGCTAGTTTGGGCTTAATAGGGACATTAACGCAATATCGACCCATCAGATGCCGTCAAACAGATGGCAGTGTTAGCTGATGAGATGGATGGAGTGCATTGTATTTTGGTGCTGCCAGCTTTGAAGTGTGGTTCCTGCTTGGAAGAAGCCATCGCTCATTTACTGTTATGTTTGCTTCAGCACGGTGTATGCTCTCAAATATCGCGTCAGCGATATGAGCGCTCGTAGAGTGTGCGACGCTTTCGAATCAACTGTTGCTGCCGCTCGTAAGCAGCCAATATCAATTCCATTGAGTTACGCTGAGTCTTGATGTACTTCAGCGTGTATGCGCGTAAAGCACTGCGTTGAGCAGCACCAACCCCCAGTATTAGCACTGTGCGGATAGGCTTCGTGTGAGTCATCCACATCATACGGCACAGAAATCCGGAAGTGGTTATCCAGTGACAAACGGTTGGTTTGCCAGAAACCAGCGGCGAAACCGGCGAAACTGCCGGTATTTCTGGTTCGAAAAATGGCTTGTGATCCACTGTGCCAAGGTTCACATTAATAAATATGTCATTTAATCAAGGCGGTGCTTCTTTTTATTCAGATAAACACACAAGATAGAAAAAGTGCAGCGCAACCAATCGTTAGCCGGCTAGCACAGTCGTGTACAAGGACCGCAGCGTATAATGTGTGTGAAATCGAGGTACTGTACCAGGACTTTACCAAACCTTACGAAAATTGGGTCACTGCGTTCTACTTCACAGGCTACAGAGCTACGGAATCGGAAAACCTATGTTTGGTTAGATGGCTAATTTCCTCAACAAACGATGTTTTCAAGTGCGTGTTAGCGGATCACTTTCCAAACAGATTGAGATGGAACGCGGTGTACCACAGGGCGCAGGGCTGGGACCGTGCTTATTCCTGGTGATTAGTAACAATGTTACCGGGTTTCGCCGATAATGTTGAGATAAGACGAACGATTAATAGCAGTGAAGATCACGATCCTCTCCAACGCGACTTGCATTTCCTTTAAGTGGCCAAAGAGGAAGTTACTGCAGTTCAACACGGCCAAGTGCAGGGCGGTTACCTTGTGTCACCAGAAAGTGAGCGTGTACAGATATGGAGCACACAACTTGCAGAAAGCCTCCCGGGAGCGAGACCTTTGGATACTGGTTCAGAAGCATCTCGCTTGCTCGAAACAATCAGAGGCGTCGAGAACAGGTAATCGACATGTCGGCTTTCTACGCAGGGTGTTCGGTCGATTTGAAGGCATAAACGCTGAACACATATGTGCGACGGCACGTGAAAAAAGCTATCCAAGCGTCACATCCGTGACAGAAGCAAGATTTGGCTGCACTCGGGACTCCTCAACGAAGGGCATCCATCATCCACCTTAACAGCTTATGGTGAAGCCTCTCGAAGTCGACATCGGCATTTGCGCGGACATCATAATGTTTACCAGGGCGTGAACAACCCAAACCACATTTGCCTCCCACCGCTGGAGTTGAACGACAACAAAAAACTGAGAGGTCAATAATCAAAGCTGACAATACATTACAGCTGATTGAAATGCCGTCGCAATTTCTTCTCGGGGCGAGTGCGCCAGCCGTGGGATACTCTCTCATTTTATATTGTCTCTGCTGCCAATCTGAATACTGAATACTGTATTATAGAGCAATTAGAAATGAATTCTGTACAACTCTTCTGAAATATGGTGAAAAACGTTATAAAAGTTGTCAACCGTGAATATCGTTATCGTTCTCATGTAACATGTAAAATATCTGACTCACGATATTTCAGTACTCACAAATGTGATATGTCATCGTAAGTGTGCAATCCTTCTCTGAATCGAATAGTGTTAAACTATAAATCTAACAACGCTTTGAACTGCTGCACAAATGTTGCCTTCATCACATGTTCAGGTAAACTGTTCCAAATGTTTACCACTCTCCGTTCGAACACAGTGGGTGGGGAACCCATTTCACCTCCGGCACGACAAGTTTGCATTTGTGTCCGCCTGTGCTGCATGGCCCTCGTAAGTGCAGCATTGACCTCAGGATTGGGAAGTCACCGAGATGTAGAATACGGTAGGTCATAATGAGGTCGACTCGCACCCGACGGTAGGACAAGGTGTAGAGTCCTAGTTTCTCGCACCGGTCATCATACCCCAAGCCACGTAAACTCGGGATGAGCCTGGTAGCAACATGTTAGACCCGTTTGATCTTTTGTGCCTCGCATCGGGTTATCGGAAAGTAAACGGACGAACCGTACTCTAGCATTGGTCTAATGATGGAAGAGAAGAGGCTAGTGGCAACCTCTTCAGACCACGTGCCGAAGTTACGTTTGAGCGCCCAAAGCATGCGCAGTCCGTAACGATATAGCCTGTTCGTGTTGTCCACGGACTTCAAATTGTAGCGTAGCGTAGGTCCTTCACGGAGGGTGTGGGATATAGCGATTGGCCGTCAAGGGTGTAGGTTCGGCCGTCAGCACCCTTCCCCAGGCTCATAAATACAGACTTGACTGGGTTGACCGGGAGAAGAACTTCTGCAGACCATGTGGATAGGCGGTTGAGGTCTTGTTGAAGTAGGCCACAGTCATCGGGAGCGTCAATTTCTCTCCAAATCTTTGTGTCGTCCGCAAACAAGGCACACGGCAACCGGACAAGCTGAGCGTAGATCGTTGATGTGGATTAGGAACAGAGTGGGTCCCAGCACAGTGCCTTGAGGCACGCCACTTGTAGTGGGGTACCAGTCTGTTAGATGGTCGTCGACCTGTACCCTCCCGTCCAACAAGGAAGTCGCGGATCCACCGGTGCAGTGAGCCACCGACACCACACATTCTGAGTTTTTGAAGGAGAACCTCATAGCTGACCTTGTCGAACGCTTTACTGAAATCGATGAATATCACGTTGACGGACTTCCTCTTGCTTATTGCCTTCAACCACTCATGCCTCGCCACAAGCAGGTTCGTAATGCATGAGCGATCTTGCATAAAACCGTGCTGTGCGGGCGTCAGGACCTCGTTTGACTGTAGCAATTGCAGTAATCCCTTCTTCACGATTTTTCAGCAACCTTTGCCAAAATAGGTGTCAGACAAATTGGCCTGTAGTTGTCTACTTTGCTAGAGTCGCCGACTTTCGGAATAGGCTTCATCACCGAACGATGTACAAAAACTGATTTCGTGAAGCACTGTCCTATACGCATCCCATCTTATCCCATTGTCAGCAGGAAGCTACGTAACACGACCAAAATGTGTGTTGCCAAATTTCGAACCGATTGAATTGATACCTGTAATCATATGAACACCTCGGCTCTCTTACGCATTACCTAACGCAAACAACATGGTCAATCGATAAAAAAACACTTTCGAATGTTTCATTACGTTTTCTCTTATCAGCTAATTGCATCTCATGGGGCTTGGTAAGTAATTCTGTTTTTTTGCCTTCAATACACCATTGCTCTTTGTTTCGGAAGTTGCTTTGACCTACTGACCTGACGAGATGACTTTGCGAATCATGCGAGGTTTCGGTACAGGTTAGTTGATTGAGAGTTTATGCGGTGAAAACCATGGGAAGCACATAAAATGGCAAGTGTCTACCTAATATGGAGAATTTCAGGCATTTGATAGTATATCGTAACTGCAAGAAGAATATCTTCAACGTTTATAAGGCTTCGGTAGGCGAAGTGCATTAGGTGACATATAATAGTAAAAAAGCTCTATTATATCCACGACGTATTTCTATCGGTAGGTATGAAAATTGCAAAAGCGCTCTGGACACTCATTTGGAAAAACAATGAGTTGACTGCTTCAAGACTTTGGTTGCTTGAGTCAAAGTGGCTATGCATCTGTCGACTGAGCTTAAGAGAAAACCGTGGCTGCGACAGTGCCAAGTAGATCACAATGGCATAACAGATGGCATTTTACTGATTAGACCTTCAACGAATTGTTGGCGTTTCGAAAGCAGACTTCATCTCCAAGTTCAGATATATAAGGCGATCAATGCTACTGTCACTGTCTTTTTACTTAATTTTATTTCTGGCATGACTGCAGTTAGCCGGTTTTTCTGCTCAATGCGCAATAAACATCTCATTTGTGGTGCAAATAGCATTAAGGGAAATCCCCAGTGTTATTTGATGACCATAGCAGTAATGAATTAAAAGCCATAAGATTTCGATTAATATGAGGGGAGTGACGAGGACCAATTGCTCAGTTCTTTACGAACAAACGCGAGAGTTGTTTGGACAACAAGAGAAGAATAGGTTCTCTTGTTGATTCCCATCACTACACCATCACCGGCGCCACCTTCCTCATCCTCAAGCGCCCAAACGATGAGGAATTTGGTGTTGAGGTGTACCATCTTCGTTGCGCGCAACGCTTTAAATTTCCTCACTTTCAGTGCAGTTCAAATGAGCAGAATGATAGAATTTCGCTCTCGAGTAATTCGTTGCTTGAGTACAAACTGCGTGTCGCGTCCGAGATACACAGAAATTACCGCAAACTCCCGAAATAATAAGCGAATCACCATAGTGGAACAAACGACTTACAGTAAAGATTTCAGCTGGCGTTGAATATGTAAGACGATCTCTTTCGGCATACTGGTAAGGACACGCATTCCACCAGGAATGTGGACAACGTCGAATCCTTCAGGGATTGAAGCAAGGCCGTGCTCAGCTAAATAATAAAAGCCGGTGCAATACAAATCCCGAATAAGAAAAGTATATTGCAAAGTTTACTGGGAAAACGTTGAACTTGCTATACTTTTTGTATGATCAGTGAGGGAACAGTAAGCTCAGGAATAATTGGATCTACAAACTAATGTGTGTATTGGTGAACTCACCGTGTTGTTGATATGGACGCAGACACATCCGACTACTACAAATTTACACTGTTTTAGCACCAGTCCCACTTTTCGGCAGTACGAGGTTGCATGCTTTTAAACAGTCTAGTCATGAGCATTTATATTATCCCCAAAAACACTGGGAAGATGGCCAGTGCAAACTGATCTGATGATTCTGAGCATCCGGTTACTCTAAAATCGGGATAATGATACCGTACTTTTATCTTGTAGAGACTTACAGCAGCCCGAGGCGATACGATAAGGACTAGTATAATAAGTTTCGCAACTGATTCCATTAAATAACAATATTCGCATTGCTGATGAGACTGACTGTCACTGTTTATGTTGAACCAGTAATACTGTCCGACGCGAACTCTGATCAGCAGTTTCGACGTATTTATGAAACGCGGTTTCCTGAGCATTCGTGTTTGGTTGTTTGAGTTTGACCTTGAGAAATCTCACAGAGTGACTGAACCACTTAGCAACAAACTCCGTCTTTCGAAATGGCCATAATGCCTAAAGCAACGAAAGTGCAGGCTACAGAGTTCAATTTAACAATTGCCATAAAATTTCCAAGGAACTGGATGTCATTCGTTTCCTGTTTGTTACTACCAAAGCAAAGTCCCAAGACACTTGCGTCTACGACAGGAACATCAGCAGCTAGCGCTGCATCACCTACATATCAGTCTACATACCATGCTTCTAGCGTATAACTGATGGATAAGGCAGGAATAGCGAATGGTGAAAACCACGATTTGTTGGAAGCGGGCGTGCCAACTTTCAACACGTGTATCATCCATGAGATAGTGAGTCCGCTTGGCCGCACCGCAGTTTCAAGTCTACGCTCAGTGACAGAAAATACGAGTCTCAGGGTAGAAAGCGGGCATCTATCTGAGTGACTAACTCGCTTGACAGTGGTTCCCACCAACTACTCACTGAAGTCGATTAGGGAGAGAGAATTATGTGTGTCACGTTTACAAAAAGTTGCGGCCGAATCGTAACCCGTTTCATGGTGGAAATAGTCGGTTAGCGTAGCACGAGAACTATAAGTTGATCCACTGGTTTTGAAAGCAGCAACCTATACTCATACCGACATGGCATTTTTCCAATTAAATCAAAGAAAAAACACATACTAGGTGTTACAAGCTAAACCCGAAGTTCACATGCGGTTTACTTAACAAATTGTCATTCTGTGTGGCAGGTTTTGTCCGTAGACCTCAATGAGCAACTTTTGGATGTGTTCAGTAGACTTCAATCTCCAGGTTGGAAGACTGATTGCAGCTATACCTACTTGAACTGTCTGCAAAAGAACGAAACTGGTCATCGGATGTACTCAAAGTAAATATTTTTGAGGAGCGACGATGGATCAGCCGATCGAGTATGTGGCAACAGTAAAGTAATAACTGCCAGTAGTACGAACTGCCAGTGAGCATATGCGCATGTGGTTTGCAATGGGGTAGAAAATGGAGGTGGTTGAATGCAAAGAAAAAAGCATCAGGACTAGACTCAACCGAACAGTCCCCACGTGTACTCAAAACCACCCAATGGATACTTTGCGCAGTGCGCGTCCTCTCCGGACCTTATTGGGTCCACACCCATTGACCTGCTCTTACTAGGCAGTGCGTATCAGTGGTAGACAATGGACGGAAGCCAGAAGTGACGTGACCAAACGGCAGTTAATAATCATTCTATACAACTAAGACTGTTGTCCTGAATGAGACGAGGGCTCTGAAAAATGGCCTCTAGTGCTTTTACGGATGTGCAGTCGTTGTTAGAACAAGTCTACTAGTAACAAGCACATTGCAGCTTCCCTTGAAAATAAGATTATTATGTTTGACAAATTAGAATTCCTATCCCAAGACTAAACGGTGGTGACTTCAACAGTTTCCCTAACTCTTCTCTGAATGTGAAATATTGCTCCAAGCACTGAAATTTAGCAATACATGTAGATGTTGCTCTGCATGAAGGCTATATTACTTTGCTCACCATCCATACGTTAGTTAGCTCAAGGACTATCTTAATGTGTATACATCGTTGCACAACCACTGATACCAAGATGCATCTACAAATGAGCTGGAAGGATTAACGGTCACATAAACACAGCTGCTGAGTGCGATGCATAAATGAGACGTTTCCAGAAGCCATCAACCTATGCGCCCATATGCTTTTATGGGGAGCTCATGTGTTGCGGGCTACAAAACTAGATATGTTAACACAACCAATGGAACGGAGGTGCTCTATAACTTAATAAGTCATTAGTGCAGTAACAGGTGGGGTACTCACGAGCACACACGTTCCAATCGAGATTTTGTCGAAAACTTACAAAGCAGCAAATACTTTACACGATGTGTACAACCTTTCGTACCTTGAATCCAACCTGACTGCAAATGGAATGGGCGGATGTGCGCATAGGTTGGACACAACACAGTCAGCCATCTGGTTCACTAGACCGTTATCGCTGTGTTAGAACACATCGCAAGCTACGCAAGACACATCACCTCGCACACTGGGTAGCAACACATGGCGGACAGTGTGTATATGTGAAACAACCACGCAATGCTGTTGCATTTCCTATGATAAACACGATTCAAGAGCACAGTCGAACACAGAAAGGGTTGCACATTTTATCACGTGCAACTAATGCTTAAGCCGGAGTTATTTTAATTTTTTTATTTAATCACGAGCAGCTATGGAGGGAGTTCGTGGAGGTGGTGGCGCAGTTCGATACGAACCAAGTGACGGTATCATACCGCGCGTAGTAACCATACACATACAGCCCTGTCGTACTGCCAACGACGGCATCAACACAACGTGAAGTTACGGCGCAGCCGTGACACTAGTCCTTACGGGCAGCTTGTGAGTAGAATTTGGTGGATCTGAACCCACAATTCCTGGAGCAAGCATAACGTGAGGGAATGAAAAGTGTCCAAAGTTGTTATATGATTTCGCAACATTGTGCACGGTAACTAGGTATCCAATACAAATAAATAATATGAAAAGTCATACGAGTACAAGTTCACATTGTACGATCAAGCCGGACTGGGGATAAGGATATTGAGACACCGAAGATAGATGTCAACATATCGAGTGTGCATTCACGGTTAAGTCCATTGCACATACGCGGTAGCCGGATGAGTAATGCTTCTATTGATTTCTCTTGAGACGTTGACTGTGATGAGCTACCGGTGCCGAGGAATGTACATCGGCTGAGAACATTGTGTAACCGTGTAAACGAATAGAATCTTTGTGTGTTGGATGGCCTGAGCTTGGACAGCAAGTGCGGAAAGCGTGCGCCGAGTTTTATATGAGGTGGTCTTCAGTGCAAATAAGTCGCATGAGACCATCAGGTGACACACGTTACCCAGTCAGACCACGTGCGAATGCCATCCTATCTTAAAAATTTTGGTTAAATATTGTAAACAACAAGCACATTGTCTTGTTCATGCAAAAATGAATTCTAGTATGAGAAAGCCACTTGGACGCGTCTACAGGTTCTTTTTCCTCTAGCTACGGTGAGGTCACTAGATGTGGATGAGTTACGTTTGAGCTCTAAGCAGTAGGTTTCCGTTGATCCAGGTAGTTTAAATCTTTAGAGAAGGTAAGCTAGGTTCACTAGATTTCCGATCTGAGTTGGCTTGTGAGCTGCAAACATGCAATGCTTGGACCTCTAATCGCTTTGTCTGATCTGGATATGACCGTAACTTTTGTTGTGTTTACATGAAATCCGACAAGGATAAACCTGGTCATAAAGCCTGTCTCCTCTTTCCTGGAGTTATCAGCATTCTGTATACCATCGAATTAAGGATGGGCTTAAACTGGTGGCCCAAAACTCTGTCAGCGGTCGATTCATGTCGGACACCTATTGATCAAATGAACAAGTACTCAGTTATGATTTGTTGTGGTTTACTCTGAAGCATCCGGTGTGCAAATGGATTGAAAGGTCCAGATTCAATCGAGACCACAATTTACATTGAAACGCAGTGTTTCCGTTAAATAAATAAAGAAACAAATTTTTATTCTTGGCTACGCGTGGCACGCCATTAAAGGCATGATCTTAGTGATGGTACAACAACTGATCAAGAAATATGCAATAGTATCATAGGATTTTCATAGATATGGATTCATAAATGTAGGTATGTAGGTAGGTGTGTTGCTTGTTCATTTTTCATTGTGTTTGTAAATGCGTTACTGTTCTTCTGAATGAGTTAGATCGCGTTGCCGGTGTCTGAAGAAATGCTTGACGTCTGGGGACTTGATAAGCTTGTCAGTGTAAGCTTGGTAGGTGACTTTAGTTAGTGGCGAGTCACATCCGCCACGTCACAGTGTTGTTAAGCAAACATTTGTGGCTCTTTATAGGGAGAACGCTTGCCAGGCGAACCCACCCCGTCCTGGAACACTGCCGCTTGGAGCGCTTGTGAAGCAGACAGATGTCAATTTATGCTCAGTCCAGTGGGATAGTCTGCGTAAGACCAGAATATTTAAAAATCACTGCAGCATAAGATAAACCGCATAGTTGGGGGCCGAACAAGTTATTCAGAAAATCACATAGGTAACCCCAACAGCTTCTACTTTATGTGTCAAGTTGGTGCACACTAATTGCATTATACCATCTCCCAATAACACACGGCTCAGATCATGTAATGCAACCTCTCAAATGCATCATCGAACTGTTTATTAGATTACGGATAATGCAAGGCACAGAAGGACTGGACGGTCCTCACGTGTACGTGACGGCTGAACACATGTGCACTCATCATAGGTTTCGGAGCTACTCCGTCGTATTTTGTCGCACACAACTAAATGTACAGTTAATCACCTTCAGTTAACGAGAAGC